GCCATTTGCAACCTTCCTAGCAGTCTTCTGGCAAGCCAAGTCACTGGGAGGGGGGAGCTGAATTTTCTTAATGACCACTGATTCATTTAACAACTACAATGATTCACTGCAAAAAGGTAGCAGAATTGGGTACAACTCACTTAACCCTCCCTTTGCTTAACAGTGGAAAGTCTGATTTCAATTGTGGTTGTACAGTGTGGAATTTCCTATAGGGGAATTAGAGTAAATAATCAGAGTGGCAAAATCAGCCAATTTGTTTTGAGTCACCAATGGTGGTTGAAATGGTGGTTATTGTTCACAGGACAACATCAATTGATGTCAGTTTGTATTGATTCAAGAAATCTTTAGCTGAGTCTTACCTGAATGACACGGAGATATTATTCACTTTACAAAAAACAACCCCATCGCAAATATGAACTTTCCTGAGGGCAGCTGCATTGCTTTTTGTGCTCTCCACATTTATTGATGTGATAGCCTCAGACCCCTGACATTTTCTCAAACACCATGGAAAGAAGAAGGAGGTCAAGAAGGAGGAAATTGAAGGAGAATGCCTTCGGTGAAACTAACATGACATATTAGCAGTCTTCTAAGAGGAGGAGGTCAACTTATTTATCAAAGCACCGGAGGGCAAGACAAGAAACAATGAATGGAAACTAATCAAGGAGAGAAACAAATTGGAATTGAGCAGAAACTTCCTAACAGTGAGGACAATTAACCAGTGGAACAGCTGGCCTCCAGAAGTTTGTAGATGCTTCATCACTGAAGGCTTTAAGAAGAGATGGGACATCCACTTGTCTCCAAGGTCCCTTCCAGCTCTATTCTGATTGATTGATTGATGGAGGAACAAACAGAATGTTAATATGGCAGTTGAATGGAAGTTCTCAAAAACTACTCCTTGTTTTCACCATGAGCTGGTGTCCTTGAAACTCAATATATATATTGAATATACATATATACAATATTTCAAGACAAGGATAAAATACAAAAAAACTCATTAGAACACAAAAAGGAAAGAAGGACAAAAACAAAACCTTCTAAAAGGCTCATTAAAAAACACACATAAACATATTATCCCCTCTAATTAAATACTGGTTAATACATTACTACAGCATTAGTTCCCACCTCTTGTGAAACAGGCCCTCTCTAAACTACTAAAACTATTTTGCAAATCATTTACCTGTCTTCTATATGTTATATTAGTGGCAAAGTAGTCAACAGGAAGAAGAATAATGGTAAAACAAAACAAAATTAGAGTCCTTCTTTGATCAGAATCCTTCTTCCCTAGCTGGAGATGGCTCAAAAGCTAAGGGTTCTGAAGTCACCTCTCCTCTTTTAATAACTGGTGAAGGTAGTAGCAAGTAGAATTTCACACAATTACATTTTCTGCACCAGTTGCTGACGCTTCTGGAAATAGAAATGTTCTCATTCAATCATGCCCTTGTCACCCCAGAACTGGATTACTACAATTTGCTCTTCATAGGACAAGCTTTGAGGACTATTTGTAAGTTGAGACGGGGGATTGTATGCCTCAGTAGCTATGGGAATACTTATGTTCATTCACAGAACCTCATGATTAGCAGAGTTGCAATTGGTTGCCAATCAAGTTTTAGAACTCTACATGGTTTAATGCAGGGGTGTCCAACCTTGGCAACTTTAAGACTTGTGGACTTCAACTCCCAGAATTCCTTTGCTGGCTGAGGAATTCTGGGAGTTGAAGTCCACAAGTCTTAAAGTTGCCAAGGTTGGACACCCCTGGTTTAATGCCTAACTGTCTTTGAGATCACTTTCTCTGAGTTGAATCAGACTGCAAACGCTGAACTGAAGCTGGCAGAAGCCATTTCCCTAGTTCATCGTTGCCACAGTGTGCGAGTGGGAAGGAAGTGGATTCTATTCTATTCTATTCTATTCTATTCTATTCTATTCTATTCTATTCTATTCTATTCTATTCTGTTCTTGTGGGAACCAAGGTCATCTCCCAGGGGACAGAGGGAGGAGGGGGCCTGAAGAACCCACCAATTAACCTAGTTGGCCAACATAATTAGTGACACTTGGGGAAGGGATTATTTCTGGTTTTAATTATGCTGAAACTGCAGGAAAGGTTTGGAGTTGGTTTCTCCACTAATGTGCCAATATGATATATCCAATAAAGAAGTTCTTTGAGGAAGCAAGTGGCCTTAGAGTTCTGATTTGCTTGGGTTCATTAGTAGGAACCTTGACACAGCTCTTCTAAGATTTGTTAGGAAGGGCTAGTTGAAAGTGGCAAATCTGAACGAACGCCGACTGCAAGGAACTCAAATTGGAGTCTTCTCAGCTTTCATGCTTCAAGCATTACAAGAGTGGGAGGGGATATAATAGCTTTTTGGCAGAGGTCTGTTCTCTAAGCTAAATTCAAAATTCAACTGGTGAGGGAAGTGGTTGGTTCTGTCACTGATTAGTAGTTCAGGTGGTCCATTTCCTTAATGGTTCATATGCTGGTTCAAAGTCAAAGCATTTGTTGATGGATCCATTGGTAGAGTGCCAGGAAGTGAAACAGCAAGCTCAGAGAACAGACTGCTGCCAAAACCTACAACCCGAGCTACGAATATTCTCAACAATATCTAAGAGTATAATAGCATCCTTTAAAACCTGAGTGAATGTCGTACAAAACCATTTCTCCATTTTTCTGGAGTGCAGAGCATCAAAAAATAGATTTATGGCAAGCCTTGGGGGTTGCAGTGTTTTAAAGGTTGATATTATGTTGAATGTACTTGATGTTTTTGGAGTATGTGTGTGTGTGTGTGTGTGTGTGTGTGCGTGCGCATGCGCATGCATGCAGGCGCACACACATACACCCACACACTTGGTTTTTATTGTTGTAATTTATTCTTTTTCTTTTAAAATTACTTGTTAAATAAATATATTTTACAGTTTTCTGAGCCTTGTTACTGCAATCTACTAATGGTCTAGATCAGTAGTGGTTAACCTTTTGGGGCTCCTGTGCCAAAAATTGTGCACACGCTTGCATGCTCGCACTCGTGTGCCAGTATCCAGAAGGCAATGCGCCCCCCCGCACTCCCCCTATGCATGCATGCGCAATCCCCACTCCCTTACCTGCACTGTGCCTCACAGCTGATTTTTGGGCAGTTTGAGGCCTTTTTCACCCACCCAGAGGCTTGAGGGAGGCTTCTGTAGGCTTTGCAGGCCGAAAACTAGTCCCATTTAGTCACTTCTGGTGCTTTTGGAAAAACAGAAAACGATGAAATGGGGCTAGTTTTCGGCTTGCAGAAGCCTTCCTCAAGCCATAGGTTCACCATCACGGGTCTAGACGTTTTACAGCTCACATTTGTTAGACCTAATTCTTTAATTCTAATTTCAGAACATAGTAAAGTTGAAAGCAAATCCCTGTCTTCTTTCTCCACCTATGTATAACCTTATGCACACTTAATCCTAATTTTACTGAATTCATACAGTTTCTGGTTTTGCAAAATTCATTGAACTACAACTTAATCAAATGGCTCAGGTCCAAAAATAGATTATATATACACATGATAAGCACTAACCAAGCTTAGCACGTTGCAGGAATGAATCTGCTGTTTCTTTAACTGGTGTAGGTTAAACACACAATGGGCTTTGGATACCATAAGTGCTATATATAAATCAAATGGCTGAGGCTTCATGAGGTTTCAGTAGTGATCACTCATAAGTGCATTTCCTGAAAGAACAATTAATCAGCGGAATGAATTGTCTCCAGTAGTTGTGGGTGCTCCATCGTGGAAAGTTTCCAAGAAGAGGATCATTTGTTTGAAATAGTTTAGGGTTTCCTGCTTCAGAAGGGGGTTGCAAGGTCCCTTCCAACTCTGTTATTTCTATTTTGCATACATTACAACCACACACAAACAGGCTGTGTCGACACAAATTACTGATCAAGGTCATAGAAGGAGACATTGGCACAACGTATGGTTAGCGGATGGTTAGCGTTACTTCTTTTAAGTTCCTTTGGGCTAATCATATCATCAAACGCAGGCCATTAAATTGCTTTTGGCTTATTTGATTGTCTATACGGTTTCATTCAGGAGCTGATATTAACCATTGAATGAGATTATAAGATCTGATTTCCTCTAATCATTTTTCCCCCTGACTGAGCCTATTGACAATTCATCAACCATATCCTAAAGCAAACAGACCAGTCCCACTGGTTGACTTGCTCCTACTGCCTGCTTGAAGCTCGCTGGGAGATGGTTGAAAGGCAGAAATAAGGGAGCAGATCAGAAGGGAGAGGAGCGGTGGCTGGCTCTGAAGCTGGCTGAGAGGCCAATGACTGCTCAACCTGAACATTGTCCGAAATCACAGCGTAGCCCCGGACTCTCAGATTTACTCAGCAATTATTTTTTTCCCCTGGACTGAGAAGCAACTTGGCTCCACCCTTTGGAGAAAACTCTTCGTTTTGGCCCGGAGTCAGTCACTTCCGACGCTGAGCAAAGCAACTGCTGCAAATAGTAGTCAGCCCCCACTCACACACCCCTCCGCATCCTTTCCTCCACTCCTGCCGTTCCCTCTCTCTTTTCCCTTCAGGAGAAGAAGTGGGAGGAAGGAGAAAGGAAAGGCTGAGTTTCAGAGGGAGGGGGGAAAAAAACCCTACAATCTCACGGGGAGAAAGAATCGGAAAGCAACGGCACGGGGGGAAAAAAACGCCAGATTTTTTTTTTTTTAATGTTGTTATTATTTCACCGAGAACTCGAGAAAGAAAACCAGCCGCTTAGAATCGACGCTTGCCTCAGCCGATCTGGTGAGACTCGGAAAGGAAGAACCGGCGAAAGGGCGCAATGCCGAAGCCGCTGTCCCTGACTCCTTCCATCCGTGAGAGGCAAGTCCCGCCAGGTAAAGCCGCTCAGAGTCCATTGGAGTTGGCCGGCTATAATACATTTAAATAAGAATAAGAATCATATAACTAAAAGTCCCTGACGATGGCGCCGCGACTTCACCCGGGCGTCTGAGCCGCGGAGAGAGCGCATGGTGCTGAAATGGACAGCTCCTCGAGCGCCCGGGCGCCGAACGGTTCTGAGAGCTTGGAGAAAGCGCAAGGAGAAGAAGATCAGTTCTCCACGACCTGGACCATCGCCTTGGCGGTGCTGATGGCTTTGCTGATCGTGGCCATCGTGGTGGGCAACGCACTAGTGATGCTGGCCTTCGTGGTGGATTCCAGCTTGAGGACGCAGAACAATTATTTCCTCCTGAACCTGGCCATCTCCGATTTCCTAGTAGGTAAAGTACCTCACCTGGATTCAGCTTGTCTTCATGCAGAGATCACGGTCAGGCTTAAAGTGTTTTGGACGCTCGGGGTTTACTGGGTTGGGTGCCCTTCAGTTTTCACATACAACGGATGAGTTTTAGCATCTGTTCCACCACCATTCTGAGCTTCCTAATAGGTTTTCAACTCCTCTGGGTTACCAAGTCGTTGGTCGGGGTTTCCCCCGATTCAACCTCCTGACTGGGTCTTCATTCTGATATCTGTGGAGCTGGCTCCAAAATTCACCCATATCTGTCCCTCTGTCCATCTTTAAAGAATATTTGCAGCTCAGGATTGAAATGAGGGGTCCTTGTTGCTCTCTGAGCTTGGTTGTTTTCTTGCAGACCTTTCATTATCCAAACACTGATGATGTTACTTAGTTTGGATAATGAAACGTCTGAATAACAGAATAACAGAGTTGGAAAAGACCATGGGAGTCTTTTAATCCAACCTCCTGCTCAAGCAGGAGACCTGACACCATTTCAGACAAATGGTTATCCAATCTCTTCCAGTGTTGGAGAATTTACAACTTCTGGAGGCAAGAAGTTGTTCCACTGATTAATTGTTCTCACTGTCCGGAAATTTCTCCTTAGTTTCAGGTTGCTTCTCTCCTTGTTTAGCCTGCGGGAAAACAACCAAGCTCAGAGAGGATTTAAGGACTCCTCGCTGTTTCTGTTTTGCTATGCTCTTCCCTAAGCCTGTGAAATTCCTGAAGCAGGCTATCTTTCATAAGGCATTTAACCATGTTCTGCAGATGATTTCTCTGGACTCATTCAACAGGAACAGGAAAGAAACCTTTCCATTTGTATTTTTGCACTATAAATATTAATGAGTTATTTGTTAGATTTAGAGCATTCTATGCTTCTGAAACAAGGCAGTTCACATAATACTGTCTCCTCCAATTTTTTCCCCTTGAGAGAAAGAATGGGCTGAACTGGCCCAGAGTAATTTGGGTATATTTGATCTTCTAATCCAGTGATTCTTACACCACAGCCTTTGTTAAAACGGTGAGAAGCTGCAGATGTTGGTTTTTTTTTTTTTTTTTGGCAGCATCTTTAAAAAGTACAGATTTAGGCAGTTGAAAACTTTGGGTTATAATCCATTAAGATCTATTTATTTATTTTTATTTATATATTAAATTCATATGCTGTCCATCTCCCTGAAAAGTCAACTCTGGTCAGCTTAAGTAATATGCTTAAATCTTAAGAAATAAGCACAGCTGCTCATACATTTCAGAGCTATGAAAATCCTGCCAGCCATGTAAAATATTTTTAAAGCATTGTTAATGATGTTGGAGACTCCCCAAATTCAGGCTGGATTAGAAAACCTCTAAAGGTTTTTTTTTTCTTCCAACCTTGCAATTCAGAGATGTCAATGGGTGGTAAACTACAGCTTTCATCAGCCCAAATCCAATTTGGCTATTGGCTATGTTGGCTAGGTTTAGAATTTCTACCCAAATATACTTGGATAACATCGAAGTAAGGAGGTCTTATCCTGACGCTGAAAAAAAAAGGCAATCAAACCAAAAAAAATCACACACACACCCCAAATAACCTCTGGGCAGAAGTTGAACTTATAACTCATCGAAGGTAACTGGACATTTTTTCTTTACTATAGGAACAGTGCTGTCTAAAAATGTTACTTTTTGATCACTTCACAGCTGAGTTCAACTTAATCATTTAAACTTAAAATAATGCCTTGCTTGGGACACACAATCCTAAATGGATTGGCTTAAAAAGACAGTCCTTATACTTAAAGAATTCTTTTTCAAACTGCAGCAGACCTACTTAAAACCAGAATTCTTAAGTCTATTACCCTGCAGGTGGGCACTTCTTGGATACGAACTATGTTTGCGTCTATAAAGACACGTTTGATTTATGTGGAGAGGAAAAATTGGGGTAGGACAAACTCAAAGACAGAGATCAGTTGTATGAATTGGATTTGGAAAAAACAAGGGGAGGTTGAATCCATATCACAAGATATGCCTTTTCGAACTCACACCTGACTCTATTCTTAAGCTTCACTAAGGGGAAGCAGGCAGAATAACTGAACAACAGAGTTGGAAGGGACCTTAGAGGTCTTCTAGTCAAACCCCCTGCTCAGGCAGGAAACCCTATACCATTTCAGACAAATGGTTCTCCAATCTCTTCTTAAAAACCCTCCAGTGATGGAGCACCCACAACTTGTGGGGGCAAGTCCTTCCACTGAATAATAGTTCTAATGGTCAGGAAATTTCTCCTTATTTCTAGATTGCTTCTCTCCTTGATTAGTTTCCATCCATTGTTTCTTGTTCTGCCTTCAGATATTTTGGCAAATAAATGGACTCCCTCTTCTTTATGGTAACCCCTTAGGTATCAGAACACTGCTAGTCTTCCTTTTCATTAAACTAGACTTCCTTTTTTTTATTGTACTCCCTTCCCAGTGGCAGAAAGCTGGAAGTATGCTCTTATTGCATATTCTTTGCTGTATTTTATAGAATGATAGAACATAAGGATTGGAAATGACATTAGAGATTATCTAACCTCCTACGCATTACAGAAATCCACCATGACAGCATTTATAAGGAATGGCCATCTAGCCTTTATTTAAACTCCTTCAGCAAAGAAGAGTCCATTACCTCCTGATAATGTTCATTCCATTGTTTTTATTAGGATTTTTTCCCTTGATATCCAATTAAAATTTATTTTTTTCCTGTCATATATTTTCTATCTCCTGGAACAAGTCTAAACAACTCTAATTGTCTACATGATGGCCCTTCAAATACTCAAAGACTGCATTATGTCTCTTTCACAGTCCCCTCTTCTCCGGATAAATACTGTATATCTAATACCTCCAACCGTTCTTCATAAATTCACCTCTCTGAGCTTCTTATTATTTGGTTGCTTCTCTCCGGCCATTTTCCTCAATGTCCTTCTCCAAATACGGTGTCCAGAACTGGGCACAATATGCCAGGTGTCATCTGATGATCGATGAAAAATAAGGAGAAAGATGAATTCTCTCAATCTTGATATCATGTTTCTGTCAATGTGGCATAGGACTACATTTTCTGCATTTCAATCATACTGCTAGCTCATTTTCAATTCATGATCTACCAAAATATTCAAATCTTTTTGACAAGTAGGGTGTCTCCCTCCCAATACATACACACTGTGCTATTCCCAATTCTGTGCTCATTGCATTGATTTTTCCTACCCAATGTAGGAATTTTTTTCCTTCTTTGTTGACATTCATGCTGATCTCTACCTATTATTGCAACTTGCAACCAAGGGAGATGGGCAATTAAGAAATATGATAGATAGATAGACAGACAGACAGGTAACAGATAATCAGAGTTGGAAGGGATCTTATAGGTCATCTAGTCCAACCCCCCCGCCAAGTGGGAAACCCTACACCATTTCTGACGAATGCCAGTCCAATCTCTTCTTGAAGGTCTCAAGTGATGGCGCTCCCACAACTTCCGAGGGCAAGCTGTTCAGACAGATAGAAAGACAGATAGATAGAAAGATAGATAGACAGAAAGATGATAGGTAGAAAGATAGAAAAAAAAGATGATAGATAGATAGATTAATAGATAGATAGATAATATTGTCAAGAGCTCCTTGAGTTTTGAAACTGTTCTTTAACATGTCACTATCTCCTTTATATAGTGTCACCCACAGATTTCATATTTTCTAATCCTTCCTTCAAGTCATTGATCAATATGTTGAAAAGCAGAGGGTTGGGGTGTGGTTTTATTCATATAACATGCCTAACCATATCTATTCATCAACAATAATGTTGTGTTTCACCCATGTGTTTATCCTGATTGACTTTCAAATTTCTTACCATTTGGGTGTAGGCTTAAGATGCTGCATGGTCCGTTCTGCTTAATTGGTTTGTGGTGCAATGGTTGGAGCATGCCATATGCATGCAGCCATAGAATGGAGATGAAATCCAATGTTTATCCATGAGGGTGCACCATTCTTAATGCTTGCCAGGCTTGGAGGCAAGATTTCTCCATTCTTTCTAAAAATTGTATGTTTTCAAGCTAGCTATGAAATACTCATAAACATTGTTTTCTTGATGAACACAACTCAGTTAGATCTGCTTTCCTTAGATATCCAGGAGCACCCTTAGAGTAGTCAACAGTTAATGAACATTTTGGCTATTCAATGGTTTTTTTGTATAAACTGGATTTCTTATGGTGTGGATAATGCCTCATGCAACTCATTCCTGGGACGACTTCCTGTCCTTCAAGACAAAAATATTCCACGTTCTTCATTGTTTCTCTGCCATAATAATTAAACAAAATTGTTCCATTGAATTTTGGGTAAAGCAACCATTTTGGGTAAAGCAACCATGTACATGGTTGCTTTACCCAAAAATGTCTCCTACTACTTCATGAAGGCTGAAGAGCATATGAGAACATCCTGTGCTATCAAGCATAGATCCATTTGGCGGATAACAATTTTATAGTGTAAAACCTCCGAAAAACAGAATGTCAGCTTTGACAGTCTCAGGATGGAAGCAGAGGATTAAGCAAAATAGATTTGAGTGAAGATTTCTTTTTAATACTGGACTGGAACAATATTATGCAATAATATGATTACTAAAAGGGTGCGGGGGATGATATGATTACTAAAAGCTGACAGGGGGATGGCCAATTATTTAGACGCATCAGGGGGCTTCCCAAATTATCTCTCAGGTATAATAAGCCTTACAAAACAATATTTTAATCACACTGAGATTAACAATGTAAATGAAAAAACTATGCTACTTTGTAGCAGTTAATTTGCTTTTATCGTGGGCTCAGATAATACTGTGAGAGGTTGATTCCAGAAATCTCAACACTTGGATTGTTTTCAACCCTGACGTGTAGATTTTGGCATTACATAATATACTTTTCTAATATGATTCCTGGATATATACAGGAGTGTTATCAGTAAAAGAGCTGTTAGGCGATTGCCTAAAAGGTATATAATTGGGTTTTGCTGCA